ACTTTAAAAAAATAAAGGTAGAATGAAAATGAAAATATACAACATATCAGAATTTATGGGAGAGCTAAAGCAGTGCCGAAAGGGAAATTCACAGCCCTAAATGCATACATTACAAAAGAGGACGAGTCTCAAATCTAAGCGCACACCTCAAGAACCAAGAAAAAGAAAAGCAAAAGGAAGGAAATAACAAAGATCAGAACATATACCAGTTAAGTTAAAAACAGAAAATCAATGAAACAAAGAGCTGGATCTTTTAAAAGATCAATATAATTGACAGTCTTTAGCAGAACTGACAAAGAGAAAAAGGTAGAAAACACAAATTACAGTATCAGGGATGAAACAGGAGATACCCCTACAGACCCTGAAACATCAAAAGGATAAAGGAATACTACAAACAACTCTACACGCATAAATTTGATAACTTGCAAAGAATGGATCAATTACTCAAAAACAATTAACTACCACAACTCACCCAGTATGAAATAATATGAACAGCCTCATAATTATTAAGGAAATTGAATTTGTCATCTTAAAACTCCCATAAAGAAACATCCAGTCCCAGACGGTTTCATCAGAGAATTCTACCAAACATTTAAAGAATGAACACCAATTCTATGCAAGCTCTTCCAGAAAATAAAAGACGAGGGAACATTTCCCAATTCATTCTATGAATCTCACGTTACTCTGATACCAAAACCAGAAAAAGACAGTACGAGAACTCTACAGACTAATATTCCTTATGAATACATACACAAGAATCCTTAACCAAATATTAGCAAAACATAACTTAGCAATATATAAAAAGAATTATACACCATGACAAGAAGGCCTTATTCCAGGGATACAAGGTTGGTTCAACACTCAGAAATCAATCAGTATATTCTACCATATCGATAGGCTAAAGAAGAAAAATCATATTACCATATCAATAGATACAGAAAAAGCATTTGACAAAATTCAACAGCCATTTGTGAAAAAAACTCAGAAACATAGGGTTCAAGGGGAACTTCCTCAACTTGATAAAGAGCATCTACAAAAAAACTTACAGCTAACATAATACTTAATGGTGAAACACTGAATGCTTTCCCCCAGGATCATAAACTACGCAAAGATGTGGTGCTTTGATTCCTCTTATTCAATATAGTAAATGAGCCCTGGAGGTACAGTGGTTAAGCGCTCGGCTGCTAACCAAAAGGTCAGCCCGGTTGGAACCCACCAGCCACAATGCGGAAGAAAGATATGAGAGTCTGCTTACATAAAGATTACAGCCTAGAAAACTCTATGGGGCAGCTCTACTCTGACACACATGGCATCGCCATGAGTTGAAACTGACTGATGGCAACTGTTTATTTTCTGTTGTTGTTTGTTTGTTTTTTTTTTTTCTATGTTAAGGTTTATTATATAGCTACAGTAATTAAGACTGTGCGGTACTGGAGGAATAACACAGACACACAGACCAATAAACCAGAATAGAGAAACCAGAACTAGACCCACACAAATACTGCTCAACTGATTTTAGAAAAAGTGCGAAAGCCATTCAGTGGACAGCCTCTTCAAAAAATGGTGCTGAAACAAGTGGTCATTCGTAGGCCAAGAAATGAACCTAAGTCTCACGTCTTACACAAAATTAACTCAAAATGAATCAGACTTATGTGTAAAACGTACAACTACAAAACTTTTAGAAAGGAAAAAAGGAGAAAGTCTTTGGAATCTAAAGTTAGGCAAAGCATGAACCATAAAAGGAAAAACTAATAAAATGGAATAAAATGGACTACATTTTGCACTGCAAAAGACCCTGTAATGACCCTGAAAAGACATCCATCTGACAAAAGACTATTATCGTGAATATACAAAGAACTCAAAACTCAACAGTTAAAAGAAAATAGTACAGCTTTGCTCAGTGACAGTTTCGTAGCCAGTGAGGTTTATCCAAGACTTGAGCATTGCTGATTGAAAAAAAAAATCCGATTAGACAACGGGCAAAAGACATGAAGAGATAGTTCACCGAAAAGGACATACAGACGTCAAGCACGTGAAAAGATATTCAACATTAGTCATTAGAGAAATACAAATTAAAGCCTCAATGATATATCACTACACACCCATCAGAATGGCTAAAATAAAAAATAGTGACAACACCAAATGCCAGTAAGGATGTGGAGAAATTGGATCACTCATACATTGCTAGTGGCCATGTTAAATGGCAGTTACTCTGGAAAACAGTTTGGCAGTTTCCTATGAAACTAAACACGAAACTACCACCCAACCCAGCGATTGCATTCCTGGGCATTTCTCCAGAGAAATGAACACTTACGTTCACCCAAAAACCTCTACATGAATGTTTATAGCTCCTTCATTCATAATAGCCAAAACTCATAATAGCCAAAACAACCCAGATGTCCTTCAAACAAACTGTGGTACATCCATACCATGAAATACTACTCAGCAATTAAAAGTAACAAACAACATGGATGAACCTCCAGAGAATGATTGTTGTTATTGTTAGCTGCTGTCAAGTCAGCCCCCGACTCATGGTAACCCCATATACAATAGTTTTCACTGCCTGATTTTTCGGAAGTAAACTGCCAGGCCTCTTCCTAGTCTGTCTTAGTCTGGAAGCTCCACTGAAACCTGTTCAGCATCATAGCAACACGCAAGCCTCCACAGACAGACAAATGGTGGCTGTGCTTGAGGTGCACTGGTCAGGCACCCAGAAAATGATGCCGAGTGAAAAAACCCAATCCCAAAAGGTTACATATTGTATGATTCCATTACGTAACATTCTTGAAATGACAGAATTAGACAAACGGAGAACAGTTAGTGGTTGTCAGGAGTTGAGGAGGAGGTGGGGGCAGGAGGGAAGTGGGTATGCCTGTAAAAGGGCAACATGAGGGGTCCTCGTGGTGATGGAAACCTTCGCAATTTGACTGTATAAATGTCAATAACCTGGTTGTGCTGTTGTACTATAGTTTTGCAAGATGTTTCCAAGGGGAAGCTGTGTAAAGAGTATAGGGGGTCTCTCTATTATTTATTACAACTGCGTGTGAAACTACACCAATTATCTCAAAATAAAAAGTTTTAAAAACAAAAGTAGCCTCTAAACAAATGAAGAAATCTAACAGTGAATAAATGAAGTGTCCTCTTCTGCCCAAGTTTGATTAATACTGAAGAGTACTCTGTGAATCAATAAGTATATGACATACTCTGCCTCTCTCACACATACACACAAATACAGCACGTTTAACAAGGCAGTTCAGACAGAACAAGTGAGACTTCGCTAAGTACCTGGCACATACTTCTGAATACTATCAGAACCAGAGAAGTAAAATACTTGTCCAGGCTCTACAAAACTAATGAGCTGTGTAAGTTTAGGCAGATCACCTTACCTCTTAGCCTGTTCTTACAACCTGAATTAACAAGGTTGCTTAGACCAGCAGTTCTCAAACTTTTTGGTTTCAGGCCCCCAAAGAGATTTTGTTTATATGGATTATACCAAAAAAACCAAACCTGTTGCCATCAAGTCGATTCCGACTCATAGCGACCCTATAGGACAGAGCAGAACTGCCCTATAGAGTTTCCAAGGAGCGCCTGGTGGATTTGCACTGCCGATCTTTTGGTTAGTAGCCTTAGCTTTTAACCACTACCCCACCAGAGTTTCCATATAGATGACAATCATTGATAATTATAGTATCAGGAATTAAAACAAATTTTTTAAAACACGAGAATACATAAGGACATATTCCATTCGCCTTAAGCATGATGATGTCATTACATATCACGCAGCCTCTGGTTAACCGCTCAGCTACTAACTGAAAGGTGCTAGTTCGAATCCACAAAGGTGCCTCAGAAGAAAGGCCTGGCGATCTACCTCTGGAAGTCACTGCTACTGAAAACCCTATGGAGCACAGGTCTACCATGAAACGCATGGAGTCACCCTGAGGCAGAATCTACTCAACAGCAACTGGTTTGGTTTTATTATTATGTAAATAGTTGTGACCACACTTCGAAAACCACTGGTTAACTATCAAAAGAATACATATCTATATGTATATGAAATAGGTATATGAAAAGGATTTGAAAAGTATAAAAAACACCGGAGAAATATATCACATGTATTTTTTTTTTAATGTACCAGGGCGCCAAGGGAAAAACAAAAAAAAAGGAGGAAGGGGGCAACTTGGACAATCAACAACACAGCTGGGTAAAAAGGGGAGAGCTTTTGAAAGGCCAAGGAAGCTGGACTTTATCCAGTGAGTCAAGAGTCACGGAAGTGTAATACAGCTGTAAGATTACTACTATTGTATTAAACTGCACGAGGTGTACAAGACCGTTATAAAAATAATGAACACACATCACTTTTAAGTTTAACTTTTGGCAATGACCAAAAATCATGCAAAAGAAAACTTCCCCGAAGTCCCGGCCTCCCAGCCTCCACCTCCACAGCTCGCTCCCCAAGCTGCGAGGGTCCGCCTTCGCGCTCCAAGTTTGGGGTCCAGGGGCGACGTGGAGGGAACCGACGAGGAGAAAACCGCGCGTTTTTCGCGCGGGAGCGGGACTGACACACGCCTCCTCCCACTTGAGAGGGAGAAAACCGACTCCTCTTCTCGGCTGGGTATCGAGGACCCCCGGTCCGGGAACAAGGCTTCCTCCGCCTCGGGGATGGGGCTGAAGGGAGGGGTCCAGGGTAGGGAGGGGCGCCGCGGACGGGGCGCGGGTCACAATGAGAGCCTTCCACAAATGCGGGCCGAGGAAGAAGGGAAGGGTCGGGGTGGGGGGAGCTCGCGTTGGGGGTGGGGGCTAGAGCGGGCAGCGAGCAGCGGTTTCCCGAGTTAAGGAAGTTACGTTTGGAAGCCGGGAAAGCGCACCAGGGAGGGGGTCCGCGCTTTTCGGGCCCTTGGGGGAGGGGACAGTGCTGGGCAACGGCATCTGAGGGCCTCTCTGCGGGGGCGAGAGGGAGATTTTGGAGGGGGAATGGGTGCAGGAGGTGGTCTGGGACTCACCAGGTGCCGCGACACTTCGGAGGAGGCCATGGCCCCGAGCTGGAATGGAGCGAAGGGCGGGGTGGGGGCCAGGCGGAGCCGTGGTCTCAGTGCCGGCACCCCGCAAGCGGCCGGTCCGGGCGGGAGAGGTGGAGCCCGGCCGGAGAGAGTGGAAAGGGAGGGGGAAAGGGCGGGGCCGGGAGAGAGGGAGGGACGGGATATAACCGGCGGCGCGAGGGCGGACACCGAGCGCGTGGGGGCTGGCCCGGGCGCGGCGGGGAGGCGGCCAGTGGAGCCATGCGGCCCGGGGGCGGTCACCCGAGGAGCCGAGGCCTGGATTCGAAACCTCTGCCTGGGGTCAGAAGCGGAGCGGTGGGATGTAGGGTCGGGCCCCTCTCTCCGGTACGGAGTATGGGAGGGGTCAAACCTCGCGGCCTCGGTGACAAAGCGGTGCAGAACCCGGAGGGGACAGGCCCCGTACGTCGGGGTCGCGACCCATTAACCGCACCAAGTTATTTACCGCGCGTGTCGAGCGAGCCCCTCACGGGGTGGAGGTGTGACCTCTATGTTTTAAAGAATGAGTAATAAGTACAAGGGGAGAGTGAATGGAGGAAATCTGTGCTGTGAAAAAGACACGAGAAGGGCCAGCCCGACATCCTCAACCGCCCGCCTCTGACGAGAGGGAGCTGCGATTGCGGACCGGCCGCAGAGACCGGAAGTGGGGCGGGGCAGGGGCGGGGCCTGGGCGACGCGGGCTGTGGGGTAGGGGCGTGACCACCGCAGCAGCTGCCTCAGTGAGGTGCTGGCGGCATCCTCCAGCTGCAGACGCTCGGGCGAGCGAGGCGGGCGGAGGAGATCCTGAGCAGAGGCGCCGCCGGCAGAAGCCCATCATCTCCGAGCCGGGCCGCCGCTCCTCTGCCGCACCGGGGCCGCGGGGTGCTCTGCGCCGCTCTCCGCGCCCGCCATGGGGCCGGGCTGAGCCGCCCGCCAGCCACAGAAGTAGGACCCAGGATGGAGGGGATGGCGGAGCTCAGCCAGGAGGCGGTGCTGCGCTTCCTTGGCCAGCACGGGGGCCGAGTCCGCAACGCCGAGCTGGTGGAGCACTTCAGGGGCGCCCTGGGCGGCGAGCCCGAGCAGCGGGCCCGCGCCCGCGAGCACTTCAAGCAGCTAGTGAACGCCGTGGCCACCGTCCGCACCGACCCCGCCGACGGCGCCAAGTATGTGCACCTCAAGAAGAAGTTCAGCGCGGGACTCACGCCGCCCGAGGCGGCCCCGGCCCCCGCCGCCGGTCGGGGGCGCCCTCCCAGCCTCCAGGAGGCTAGGGGCGCTGGGGAGCCCCAGGCCAGGCCGGAGCAGCCCCCGCCACCGCCCCCCGACGACGGCGTCGCCGCTCTCCTCGCACCCGCTCGAGATCTGCCCCGCATCTCGGTGACCGCGGAGCCCTGCGATAACGTTCCGGGGACCCCCGAGGATTTGGCCCAGCCTGGGGAGAGCGAGCTGCTCCCCGCGGCGGCGGCCGAGTCCGCTGAGCACCCCCCGGAGGAGGGCCGGGAATCCGGCGACGGGGAGCGCCCGGCCGGGGACAGCCGGAGTGAGCCACCCAGGTCCGGGCAGGTACCAGCCCTGAGCATCGGGGTCCGGAGGAAAAACTCGGGGCGCAACGTGCAGCCCCTGCCCCGGGCACCGCCCCCGGGGTCCAGCCAGGAGCTGGAGCTCCCGCCCCACGCCTGGGAGGACGCGGATGGGAGCAGCTCCCCCGGGGGAGCCACCACCCCGAGGTCTACCCGCAAGAACTTCCGAGAGCTGGTGATGGGCAACTCCCCGCAACTGAAGAGGAGCTTCTTTCCGGGGGGCAGCAGCCCGGGGAGCTCCTCCGGGGGAGGCCGCGGCAGAGGTGGAGGGGACTCGGACAGCGCCTCCCTGGCTTCGTCGTCGGCGGAGGAGGAGGGCAGCGGCGGGGGCTCCGTGACGCTGGACCCTCTGGAGCACGCCTGGATGCTCTCGGCCTCGGACGGTAAGTGGGACAGCCTGGAAGGGCTGCTGACCTGCGAGCCCGGCCTGCTGGCCAAGCGCGACTTCATCACCGGCTTCACCTGCCTGCACTGGGCCGCCAAGCACGGCAGGCAGGAGCTGCTGGCCATGCTGGTCAACTTCGCCAACAAACACCAGCTCCCGGTGAACATCAACGCCAGGACGAGCGGGGGCTATACCGCCTTGCACTTGGCGGCCATGCACGGGCACGTGGAGGTGGTGAAGCTGCTGGTGGGGGCCTACGACGCCGATGTGGACATCAGGGACTACAGCGGGAAAAAGGCCTCTCAGTATCTTAATCAGAGCGTCGCCGAGGAGGTCAAGAACCTGGTGGGAGCCTTGGACGAGGGTGACGCGGAGAGCGCTGCCGGCAGTGGAGGTGGGCGCTGGAGGCTTTCCAAGGTGCTCCCCTCGCATATCATCACCCACAAACTCGCACACGCCCTGGAGGACGGAGGGGATCACCACCATCACCATCACCACTTGGCCGAGGCTTGGGCTGGAGGCAAAGCAAAGGATTCGGGTCGCAAAGCCTCAGTCAGCTCTAGTGGGCGGTTAAAACCCAGACTCAACAAAATCCGTTTTCGAACCCAGATCATCCACACCACACCCTCTTTCAGAGACGTGGAGCAACCGCTAGAGGAGGAGGAGGAGGAGGAACGGTCTCTTAAAAGCCACGCAGCCTCCTCATTCAAACTGAGACCGAAGTCCAACGTATTTGGGTAAAAGTAACTTCTTTTAGAAAATTATAAGGTTCGTTTGCCTTCAGGAATAGAATATTGGGCATGGGCAAGGAAGTGAAACCAGAAAATTCTGAATTCTGTATTCTGTACTTACAGGGTTGGAGCGGGTGGGAAGGAAGTAGTAACAGGTACCTCTGGCTCTGTGTACCTGTGCAGATCTGCAGGCTAGCATTCCGGGGGAAGTGGATTTCTTTTTAATTGGTTTCTCAAACCCTGACCTGCGCCTCTTTTCCCCACTCTTCTCTTCTCCCCTGGAGTCCCTGTTTCTATGGACTAGAAACGTGTCTAAATTGGGGGGACCATTCAGTGGTCTTTGCTTTAAACATTGTCTGATGCCATGCAAAGGAAGGAATTTTTTTTAAATGTATTTGTTTTTAAAAGTTGGTTACTTTTCCAAAAGTAACAAGAAATGCAAATTGTAACTGGTAGTCTTTGTAAGTGTGAACAAAACCACATGCTGCCCTGTTTATTTACTAATTGCGTTTGATTATTAAGGTACTACTGAAGGTCAGGTCAAAGTTGAAATGCAGAAGTACAAAGAATAATGTGAATAAAAGTGGGAATCCTGTTTGTATTATAAGTAACAGTGGAACTTGTTTTAAAAAAAGCAATTTCAGTTTTAATCGCTGGTCTGAAGAAAGGCAACATTCACTTTTGAGTTAATCTGTAGTTTGGTTTCTGTTTAACTATCTCTCACACCACTACACTTGGTATTAAGTTTTTTTTATTAAAAGATAAGAACACTCTGCATCCTGCAGTACATTTAAATAAAATAATTGCCTCTTGTTCTGATTTGCATTACTTATTTTGCTGTTCTGAAAGTTTAAATTTGCCAGAGTTTTATTCCGGGGGCCATATAACCATTGGTTTTATTTGGCATGACCCTATTTAATGGTGCTTAGAGTTGACTTAAGGAGCCCTGGTGGCACAGTGGTTAAGCACTTGGCTGCTAACGGAAAGGTCGGTGGTTCAAACCCACCAGCCGTTCCGTGGGAGAAAGATGTGGCAGTCTGCTTCCATGAAGTTAGATTACAGCCTTGGAAATCCTATGGGTCAGCTCTGCTCTGTCGTATAGGGTCGCCATGAGTGGGAATTGATGGCAGTGGGCTAGAGTTGAATTTCTTCCAAAACCATTTCTGGTTTAGACTACTAGCAAAATTGGCATAAATGTTAGTAAGCCTATGCATCTGTGAAGTAAGTATTAATTCAATTTAATGACTTTCACTTAAGGTACACTTTTTATTTTACTAATAAAATACATTCATAGTCTATACTTTGTAGCAATATTTGCAAATGTTTAAAATTATAAATCCTTTAAATTTTCCAACATTTCTTTGCATCTATTAGAGACCTACGATAAAGTTACTGAAAACCTGGGTAGTAAACCCACCCAGTTAAAGATAGCACTTTATAAACAAGTGAAGAGAAAGAGATGGGACTAATTCTATACTCACATGCTGCTGACTATTGACTCCCTTCGTATATAAATGAAAAGTACCGCCCATTATTAATGAAAGACTTAAGTGTGACTCTTAATTACATTTCATTCAAATATGTCAGGGTAAATGGCTTTGTAATTGCTTTAATATTTAACTCACAAACATATTAAATCTGCTTATAACAAGATTACAAACAACTTTTGTGGGGGCCTGGTTTGAACAAGTCCTTATCCCCAAGCCTTTTTGGTCTCATCGTTGCTGAAACATAATCACCTGTAGCCTACAGAGGTAAACCAGGTGAGGTAACAGCCTGCAGAGTGAATGAACCCAGCTACGTGCACAGGGCTGCAGCATTTAAAGTTCAGAGATTTTTAATGTCCCAGGTCAGAAATCTGTGATGTTTGTCCTGTCTTTCTCTAGGTGACAACTGAATTTGTTTAAAAATTAATGAAAAAATCACATAAAATATATAAACTTATACATTTGTGTGCCTTTACATTTGTTTTAGGATTATAGAAATGGGGCATGAACAGTTGAGAAGCACTTTTGTCCACGTACGTGGGTGAAAAACCAGTCTAATTTTGTATAAAAAATGGGTTCCTTGAAGGTGAGAAGTAGTCATTTGTCCTGAAATTATGTACATATTACATGCATCTAGTGCAGAATAAGCTATAACTTCCCAGGGAGGAGTCTTAAGTTGTATTGACATGTAAAGCTAAGGTGAACTATAAAGAGTAGAAGCTTTAGAACCATCTAAATGCTCTATTGAACAGTCAGTATGAATCACTTAAATGTGTATATTAGTAACTAATTGCACAAAATCTATAATTTCCTAGATCTTTATCAGTTGAGTCAATACTTCGTTTATTTGCTTTTCACATGAAAAGCTTTAACTTTTCCATTAAAATATATTTTAAATTTTTAAAAAATCATTCCTGAGGGAAACTACTTGTAACCTTCATTGTTATGTTGTGGTTGTGTACTGTGAAGTGTAGCATTTTCAGCTATCCAACTCTGTATTCCTCTTATTTTTTCAATTTCAAAAGCAAGAGATTATAAAAAGCAAATGATTTGTGTAATTTGATATTTATAGAGTTGTGCCTACCATTTATGGAAATGTGTACGTCAGCTACTTAGATGTTTGTTGATATAAAACTGGTTAAAAAACTCAAGTATGTCAATGTTTCTTACCGGTGCACTTGAAACTCGTAAATGTTTATCACAGTTTTGTTCAATTTTATGGTATATAAAATGCAGCTAGCTTACATAACTTGAAAATTTGGTACTATTTTATTGTCATGCCTGAAAACTTGGAGTCCAGGATGTCTTGTCTTATTTTTTAAATAAGTGAAACTTCACGAGTTTGAGAATGTAAACTTTGTTTATAAAGTTAGTTTTATCAAAATGAAAGAAGCCACTAGAATTTTTCTGTCTGTAGTTCTTTATATTTTTCCTTTGTAGTTCTTTATACTTTTCACTTTTTTGTATAGTGTTTTACAGTTCACAAAATGCTTTTTGAAGTGTCAATTTCCGGATCCTTTCACTTTCCTTTAGGGTTACTGGCCATTTAGCCCTAATTTACAGATGAGGCAATGAAGCAGAAGGTTGATGGCTGTTCAGGGTCAGAAGTAAATGGCTATTAGTAAGGTCTTATGATTCAGTGCTTTTCCATGTTATGTCTTCTATACTACAAATTAACCAAGTTTTGGCAGAACTGCTATAGTTCGGCCTCAACAATGGAGGAATCAGATAGGGGAGAAGGTAGTACTTCCACCACTCCCTTTAAAAAAACAAAAACCCAACTCCATGGCTCATGCACACACCAACTGTCATAAACCCTCCCCGCCCAGACCTGATCTTAGGTGTAGGAGTACCTTTTTCCGTTTTCTACAGCATCCATCAAGCTTTAGATGTCAATGAATTCATTTCCTCATCAAGACTACTTTGGATTTATATTTTAACAAAATTCCCCTCTATAAGAGGCGCAGGGATGTGGCAATCCTTGGTGTAGCTTTCCACCATTGCGCTCTCTTAGGGAGGGTGCTTTGTGATTGCTGCTGGGTTTTGGTTGTTTTATGACAACCATTCAACGTGTTTTAGTGTAACTGAAGGTCTAGGTAAGTCTACTTTGTTTGTAGAATGGCTTCTTTCCCTAGAAGTATATATCTTAAAAGGATTCACTGATGATATCTTTGACATTTTTCCTAGTGAAAGATTTTGATTTTGTTAAATAAATGACATTATTTGGGATTCCTTGTAAGGTTAACTCCAAAAGTAAATACTCTAGGAATTTGCTGCAAACCGGTGTTCCTTCAGTGGTGAGTCATAAATTTTCAGAAAATACTTAATATCAGAGAGCTGGAAGATGGCACTATATGTGAACTTGCTTCTCTAAATACAGCAGTAGAGTTGTTTACATTCCTGTTTGCTTTTTTTCCCCAACATTATGAAGAACATAACTTTCATGTCATCATACTCTTTTCCCCGTAACCCTCTCTTTAAATGTCAGTTTCCACTAGGAAGCAGCTTCCCCATTCTGTTAAAAATTACCTATTTGATGTACTGATGAGGAATGTGTGACAAATGCCCCTTGGCACAATGCCTGGCATGTTGAAGGTCCTCAATAATTTTTTTTTTTAGTGGAAAATGCTGAAGAAATATTTAGCAGCAATACATCATACACTTAACACGGATAAATTCAACAGCTTGCATTCATGCCAAATGAGTAAAGTTATTTTTCATACAACATGACTCCTAACTGCCAGTCACCCACTTCATCTGCAGCTCAAACAAAAGAACAGCAATCAATTCCAATTCGGGAAGTAAAATTGCCTTTATTGAGATTTTAGTTTATAAACGATAGAAATTTCCAAGAGTAAATTTGATTATATCAGCCTTTGGAAATAATGTCAGAGATTACATGAGCACATGAAAGATTAAAATAGATCATTTTAAACACCCTTGTGACCAATTCTGTCTTAGGAACCACTGCTGTAGGCCATATCCATTCGGACCAAAGGTTTAGCCAAAAATGATGCTAACACACAAGAGAATGAAGTGATTTAATCAGTCTTCATCAGTGGAGTAAAGTAGGATCATGTAAAAAAAATTTTTTTTAACCCAACATTATGCTGTCCTGACCAAAAAACCCAGAAGCGCCTGTTAGAATACTCTTCTGGGTCTCTAAGAAGCTTTGAATTTAATAATCTAGAAATATAATTGAACATCCCTGAGATTTGCCCAGAAGTTTCTGATATTGATCAATGTGATCCTCAAGTTTGTAGCATTGAAGAGGAAATCAGTTTGGTTCTTAGCAGCAGTTCAGTGCTATGGTTGTATACCAAGGAGATTGTAAACCTGGCTAAGGATTTTCTTTGGCAGTAGAAAAGCACACTTTACAAAAAGTAAGCCTTTTAATACTTATAACCCTCATCTACTCGTTCGATTTTGGTATCTCCATTTTATTGATAGGAAACTGAGGTACAGTGGCTCAGCTATTTGCTGAATTCACAGAGCTACTTGCTTACGAGTTCACATTGCCAGTTAATAGCAGAGCCTGGCCCCAGGGTTTGTGTGCTTGACCACCATGCTATGCCACTTCTCTGGGAATGTCTCTTAAAACAGTCAACTGGCCCGAAGCTTACAGAGCTACCACCTAATGATGTAGAAAACTGTTGCCCATACTACCTGTAAAAGAGATCAAACTAAAACCCACTAATGGTTAAAGCAAAACAAAAAACCTAACGGCTGAAGCAAATAATGAGTTCAGCATGCTAATATTATTGCTGAGTATGAATAGGATTAGAGCTGGATTTTGAGGTGCTTGTTTTTTAGTCTTATGGAAGATAAAATGCGTTTGGATTGGAAAAGAGTATGTACCTTGGCAGTAGTGGTGGAGCTGCTACAATGTGTCGAGTGTGGTTATGTTTCTTTTTTTAGGCTCTCCTACACTCTCCCCAGGCCCTTGTCTGAGCACCTAAGCACTGACGGAGGGGCCCAGGCCGACTTCCACATAATCATGAGATTAAAGACAGGCCAGGAAGAAAAGCACCATTTTCCATACTATCTAATTTAAAAATGTATACCCCAGTAAATCTGAATTTTGATAATTCATGTCAGAATAGGCAGAAGCTTTACTTTGTTTCAAAGGGTGCTATTTGAATGTTTTAAAATACAGAATTGCTAAGAATATTAGCTCACTGTTTACTAACTGCTCTTAAAAATGAGTCACTTACTACAACTTTGATGCCCAGTTAACTATGTACGTACTTCAAATGAATAAAAATGCCTTGCTTTTTATTAAGAAATTTTTATATTAGAAAAGTAATATATGCCCATGGTTTTAAACAAATGACAATGTCGAAGCAGATAGGGTGAAAAGTAAGTTACTCATTCCC